AACATATTTGACCCCTGTGACCTTGAAAATAAGTAAAGGTCATTCATTTGAACAAACTTGGTAGCCCTTCATCCTGGCATATTACTGGCCAAATATCATTATCCTAGGCCTCTTAGTTATTCAGAAGAAGTTGTTTAAAGGTTTTAAACATATTTGACCCCTGTGACCTTGAAAATGGACGAAGGTCATTCATTTGAACAAACTTGGTAGCTCAATCACAGCATGCTACTGGCCAAATATCGTAACCCTATGCCTCTTAGTTATTCAAAAGAAGTTGTTTAAAGGTTTTAAACATATTTGACCCCTGTGACCTTGAAAATAAGTAAAGATCATTCATTTGAACAAACTTGGTAGCCCTTCATCCTGGCATGTTACTGGCCAAATATCATTATCCTAGGCTTCTTAGTTATTCAGAAGTTGTTTGAAGATTTGTTAAGACAATTGACCCCTGTGACCTTGAAAATGGACGAAGGTCATTGATTTGGACAAAGTTGATAGCCCTTAATTACAGCATGCTACTGGCCAAATATTGTAACCCTATGCCTCTTAGTTATTCAAAAGAAGTTGTTTAAAGGTTTTTAACATATTTGACCCCTGTGACCTTGAATATAAGTCAATGTCGTTCTTTTGAACAAAATGGGTAGCCCTTTATCCCAGCATGCTAATGGCGAAATACCTTAACCCTAGGCCTCTTAGTTATTCAGAAGAAGTTGTTTAAAGGTTTTAAACATATTTGACCCATGTGACCTGGAGAATAGGTGAAGGTCATTTATTTGAACAAACTTGGTAGCCCTTCTTCCTAGTTTGCTTCTGGCCAAATATCATCACCCTAGGCCTTTTGGTTATTAAGAAGAAGTTGTTTAAAGTAAAATATTGACGCTGGACGGACGGACGACGGACGCTGCACCATGACATAAGCTCACTTGGCCCTTCAGGCCAGGTGAGCTAAAAATCAATAAAAATGTGAATTTTTAAAATTTGTTTTGATAATAAATTTGAAGATCAAAGATATATTTTTTATGCTAACACCTCCAACGAAGGTTTTTGTTCTTAAAGGCTACTGTGGAGAATTTCTTTTTAGTTTATTCGAGTTATCTTTCTTTGAACACTAAATCAAAATAGATCCAAAGGGAGAAATTTGTTAAAAAATGTCTGTTCTGATTTTTTTTAAATACTGTTCTATGTTGCTAGATTTTGTTTCTATTTGTATATTGTGTACATGCCTATGGCATTCATCCCTGATTTCAACAGTTTTCTACCTATATGAGTACGAAATCGCGGCTGCTTCTTAAGTGCGCGGAAACCGATAACACGAGGATACCGCGCATGCAAGCTTTAACTTGTTTTAGTGTGTTGTGCAATCGTAGAGTAAGGGTACCTGATTTCGTACAGGACATGATTTCGTACTCTAAACATTTTTTTCTTATTTTTTAACCGATCACTTTCGATAGAGGCATAAAATTGCTCCAACAGCAAAACACCACTTTTGTTCTTATTTGGTGATGCTAAATAAAGATTTCCCAAATAACCTCGTTTTCAAAACGAAACTAGCGAGTCAAGCTGTCGTCTGCAGAATGGACACAATGTAACTTTAAAGCATTATTTAAAACAGAATCGAGCCAATTTTCTTGTGATCAATATGAAATCATTCAAATAAAACAATATTTTACCATTTACATCAAGAAGATATCAAAAAGAAACTCAAATATAATCAATAACAGCGTTTTTTTAACGTACACGCCCTCTCCCCTCTCCTCACTTATCGTAGGGAACAGTCATTATTTCGAAACTGATCTAAAATATTTTTTTGTTTGAGATTGTTTTATAAAACATCTAATGAAATAATTGCTACTAGAATATGTATAGGTGATATTTTTCCACAAAGGGGTTGATGTCACCACCAACAAAGGACACTGGTTTTTTTTATAAAAAAATCATGATTTGTTCAAAAAACATTTCTGGTCTTTGAAAATCGGCAAATCTAATAAAATATATTGAATTCTTTCGACATATACTTATATTCGCTTTATTTACTAAGAATAGCACATTTGTAGAGTGTACGAAATCACGTACCCCACTGCCGCGAAACGTGGAAGTAAATGATGGTAAAAGAAAGATCCCCTGCGCAGTAATTTCTACACATATGACGTCACATTATCAAATATAGCGCAGATTGCGTGCATCTTTTAGGTCAAAGTAGTTCCGATCTTCTTAGAGATGAATTTGGGGGGGAAAATGTAAATCTGTTTCAAAAGTGTACGAAATCAGGTACCCTCACTCTACGAATAAACCACGGACTTAGATAGCAGGGTCTAATCTAATTCCGTGAATAAACAAATAATGTTTTGAATACGTAGGTAAAACCGTATTCTTTTCTTTTGATAGTTTGGTACGTGTTCGCACTGTTGTTCCAGTCGTTGTAAGTCTTCGACTTGTGAGACTGTCCTATATATCTTGTTGCAGAATGGACGGTTAACGGTGATGATTACAATCACAGGACACGCATCGTCGCATGAGTTGGCATAATCACAAACACTAACATGACCGGGCTCCGATTCCTAATAAGGTTTAAGACCAAGTTGGGATCAGAGACATACTATATATGTAAACTTACCTAACTGAAGAGAACTAGACTAACACAGCAGTTATACTTTGTCGTTAGGTGATCCAACACGTTGTTGTCAACATCGATCACTTCTCGCTTCTGCATCAGGGGCCCCAAATGGGGAAATCTTTGTCTAAGTAGTTTATAGTAAACTGCACGGCGGTAAGGGACCGATTTCCGCTGTCAGCGCGGGTATTATACTGAAATTATTTGTGATCACGTAATTAGATTGCTACCCGATCCCGAGGCTTCATTTTTTTCTGTGACATGTGATTCAACCAATGAACGTTATTTATTGTTGCATCAAAAATGGACCCTGTTGAAAAATGAACTTTAAACATTGGCGATATTATAGGTGTATTGACAGACGAGGCTCGTACCTGTGGGCGAACTGACCAGTACACCTATAGTAACAACATCTGAAATGGTATTTGGTTAAATCGGCCCGAGGTAATATCGGACAGACCGATTTTACCCAAGTGAAATCGGCCCAAAGTAATATATCAGCCAGGTCGATTTTACCCAAGTAACCGAGGGGTATTTGGGGATGAATAAACAACCCAAGCTCGACGTTTTGATACCGAACCAGTGGTTTTATTGTAGGTAAATCTTACCCTGCAACGATACAAACATACATTACCTTACTACGCAATAATAGCTACGAGTACAATCTGACAATTCACACTTAGCTGTAAAATACGTACGTTTAACCGGGGATTATATAATAACAAAAAAGGAATTGGAAATTGGACATATACTATTTCCTTATCTATGAGTTACAATATGGATTACAATTTACCTTTACAAATATATTAAAAAAAGTGTATGGCCTTTTGGCATTTGCTGTTGACGCATAAACGTATAATACTGTATTATACGTCTCTGGTTGACGTTACTCATAAATGGTGAAAACTATTTACGGACGTACACTATGACGGGACATTCAAAAGGATATATACATATTGGGATTATTATGATTTATAATGAAATAATCACATCTGTGTGGCATTGAACTGTTTTCAATTGGCATTTATAGGCAATATGAATACCAACTGGACGTAGACAAAACCGATGAAGCGCGTTGCGCATCATGTTCGAACGCCATCTGAATGTGGTAGGGTTATAAATAAGTGGCAATGTCATGCGGTTCTGCTATGAATGTGTCGCCCTGGTAAAATACTAGCCGCTTCCTATACCGACTCGGTTAGCGGGGAGATTTCTCTTTAGACAAGTAAGTCAGAGGTCCCGGGTTCGACTCCTATAGCGGAGGCATTGAAAAAAAATAGTGACATCGGTTACATTGACGCCCACGTAGGGATCCGAGTAAAATTGATAAATATATAGGATCTATATGAATTTCCATTTCATATGAGATTGATAAAACGAGTCTAAGAATTTTTCAATTTAGCGAGCCTCTGGCGAGCTAAATGAAAAATTCGGGACGAGTTTCATGAATTTTATAAGAAATGAAAACGATTGTAAGATCCTTTTTATCACTTAATCAAGATTTGCGGCATTTATTCGTGTAAAACGCCGATATTACCTTGGGCCGATTTCACCAAATACGTAACAGATTTCAGATGTTGTAACTATAGGTGTACTGGTCAGTTCGCCCACAGGTACGAGCCTCGTCTATCAATACACCTATAATATCGCCAATGTTTAAAGTTCTAGTTCATTTTTCAACAGGGTCCATTTTCAACGGGTTTGTAAAAATAAATTTGATGCAACAATAAATAACGTTCATTGGTTGAATCACATGTCACAGAAAAAAATGTAGCCTCGTGATCGGGTAGCAATCACATTACGTGATCACAAATAATTTCAGTATAATACCCGCGCTGACAGCGGATATCGGTCCCTTACCGCCGTGCTGTTTACTATAAACTACTTAGACAAAGATTTCCCCATGTTGGGCCCCTGATGCAGTTGACAACAACTAACGTTAGTGTTGGATCACTCGAAGACAAGACAATGACAAAGTATAACTGCTGTGTTAGTCTAGTTCTCTTCAGTTAGGTAAGTTTACATATATAGTACATTGTACGTCTCTGATCTCAACTTGGTCTTAAACCTTACCAGGAATCGAGGCCCGGTCATGTTAAGTGTTTGTGATGCGTGTCCTGTGATTGTAATCATCAACGTTAACCGTCCAATATTTATTCATTCAACCTCAAGCATCCTGCAACACCAAACTGTTGAAAGAAAACATGACCTGCGTATTCAAAACATTATTTGTTTATTCACAGAATTAGATTAAACCCTGCTATCTAAGTCCGAAGTTTATTTATTTTATGCGCGGGGTATCCTCGTGTTATCGGTTTCCGCGCCATTAAGAAGCAGCCGCGATTTCGTACTCATATAGGTGGAAAACTGTTGAAATCACGGATGAATGTCATAGACATGTACACAATCTACAAATAGAAACAAAAACTCGCAACATAGAACTGTATTTAAAAATAATCCGAACTGATGTTTTTTAAACAAATTTCTTTCCGCGTGTCTATTTTGATTTAGTGTTCAAAGAAAGATAACTCGAATCAACTAAAAAGAAATTAACCGCAGTGGCCTTTAAGAACAAAAAGCTTCGTTTAGTATAAAAAAAATATCTTTTATCGTCAAATTAATTATCAAAACAAACTTTAAAAATTTCACATTTTTTATTGATGTTTCAAAATGTCAACTTGAACAAATCCATTTATTTGGGTGGTCGGGTGGTGCAGTGGGATAGCATACTTTCCTTTCACCAAGGCAGCCGGGGTTCGATTCCCTGATCCGATGTGAAAAGGTATGGGGTCACCTGCCCGACCACATGGGTTTTCTCCGGGTACTCCGGTTTCCTCCCACACAAAGACCCTCCGTGCGCTAACATCCGGGCCAACAAGAGTGATTAATATAAGTTGGAATAAGTTTATATTGAAATTTATTTATTTAATTTATTAAGTTATAATAGAATCTGTTACTATTTTATTGTGCAGTCTTGCATGTATATATATCGGTTTTGGTTGATGGAAAGTTATTTCTCATTTTATTCTGTTAAAAATTGGTGAAAATTATGTCAATTCCACTTTCCTTAAATTCTATTAAATTAAATTCTATTAATCTGTTTAGACCAAACACCAGTGGGACCATATTATATGGTTGTTTTTTAGAGAGTTCCGGTTTGTAGACAGTCAATCTGCTTCTACATCATTTCTGAATATTATCTGAAACATCTCTGTTGTATTCTTAACAAGAATGTCATAAATAGTTTAAAAACATGGCCATTTTCATATCATACCCCATATTGACCTTTGATCCCGATATCATCCCTCAGGCTTATATTAGGATCTTTGGTCGCGGCCCTTTGGCTGATTTCAGGATCAAAGATCAATACGGGGTAATATATTATATGTCACAGTGTCAGTGCTCCAGATAGCTTGCGTGAATGCATATTCACACACGATAATTCACAAATTACGCAAAAGAAAAAAATGAACTTGCTTAATTCACGCAAGCAAAATTCGGAACATTGCGTCAGTCTCCGGGACCAATTTAGCAAATTATAATATGCTTACAAGTGAGTCACTGAGACGCTTGCAAAGTACTCCTGTTACAAACGCTTATATGAGCGAGAATTGAATCATGGCGCTTTTAAAACAATCGCTATTTGTCACTTGGTCTCATCTCTTTCGCTGCGTAGTAAATTGTCCTAAATACAGAATTAGCACAGTCATCTGTTTTACTCTCAGTAACTTCAACATCGTCAATGTCTTCCATTAATGTTGTGACCCGTTTAACGAAGCGTGTTTCTTTTTTTAATTGAAGTTTCTTTTGTGATACTTTCAATAGCGGACAAGTGATACTCTGATTGTTTGTGTCGGGTAAGGGCACTTTTTTGAATATTCAAGCCGCCCTTTGTGAAAACGTTGTCCTTCTTGTGTTTGGAGCACGACGAACATTTCAAGTTCGACAAGGTTTGGCCATCCGTTTGACCAACAGTCTGGACCGTGACGTCAGCCACGGGAAATGGTTTTTCCATCCACACCCTATTATGATATTTTCCGACCCCATTTTAAATAGATATGTGGCATTTTATTTCCATTTCACTGTGATTGTGTTCACAGTGAAATGGAAATAAAATACCACATGTCTAGACAACACAAAAATATGAATTTGAGTCATTCTTAACCCTATATTAAAAGTTTAACACATACAAATGATTCAACGTCTTTCAACATTTTCAGGTAACGTTGCTTTTAAAGCACTTCATCTTTCAAAATTTAAGTTTTCACCCCTCCACTTTGGAGAGGAAGGGGTAAAAAACCCTACATGTTCAAAAGTTATCTGGAGCACTGGTCACATATTTTCCTACAATCTCAATGGTTGGATCATAGGTAATCACGTGGAGGTTGCCGATTTGGGATATTGACTTGATGTTACTATTTTTAGAAAAACAGCAGGTTAATATTATTCAATTATAGCCTTTGGCTGAGGTCGATACCTGGATTTATCGACCCGAGAAAAGTTATATTGACAGAGGACGCAGTCCAAGGTTAATATATTTTTTCTCAGGTCGATAAATCCAGGTATAGACCGAAGTCAAAGGCTGTAATTGTTTTATTATTTTCAAAACAGTAATGTTAGAAATCTGAAAAAAAAATCACCACAAAAAACTACGGTAGCGGGACGATGCGTTCGTTTGGAGTCGCGTCATCATTCTATTTTTAGAAACACCCAGTCCTTCAACAAAAATCACACGCTCCAAGTCAATATCGGTTTTTATCGGTGGACACATTATGCTTTCCTGGCCAATCAGTTGTCGGGTATAATATGAAAAAATAATAATCACTAATGACATCATTTCACTTTTAACGTCACAATGCTTTCCTCCAAATGCAGTTCGTTCCTCTGTACAATGTTCCATCCTGTTTAATTATTAAAACATTACCTAGCATCATATGTAACAACTAAGGACTTTTATGTTGGTGGACATAATTTAATTATAGCCTTTGGCTGAGGTCAATACCTAGACTTATCGACCTGAGAAAAGATATATTAACCGAGGGCGCAGTCCAAGGTCATTAAATCTTTTCCTGGGTTGATAAATCCAGGTATCGACCGAAGTTAAAG